CGCAATAAATTGTCGACATCTTTCATCGTAAAATAACTTTCCATCGAGCAAAATCGCAGCCAGTGTGCAACAATTTTCATTAAAACCATGATTGTCGTTGGCGCGACAAACATCGCACACCGACCGAGTTTTACAAGCGTACATGAATTAGGGTAAAATTAGCTTTCTGTCGGATAGGGTGGACGAGAAAATCGATGAACACGGACAATACGCGACATCGTCGGCTGAATTTCCTTAATCGAGCAAACTACGGACTAAGTTTTACAAGTAACGGTGCATTTTACTGATTACACGGTGTAGCGTGGTCCGTTTCACGGGCGTGGTTCGATTATTCATCGTTCGCGAAACCGGCCATCTGTCTTTATACGTCTGACCACCGAAGCGGGTCGTAAAAGTTGAAAGGGGCTCGAAAACGCATCAGACATTCCACGTAAACGTGTTGCCCGGCACGATACGTGATCTACGGTGATTTTCGTGGCGTGTAAGACGATGATCCCGCGTTTTTTTACACTGCACTGTGGATGAAAAATCGTGAAACGTAACGGACATTAGTCCGAAGTGAAATCGTTTCTCCGCTGGTGAACGTTGCAACGTCACTTTGTCACTATTTTCCTCATTTGCATCTCAAACGTTGCGACGTTTTAATTTTAATTCGCGAAAGTGTTTTATTTCTCAGTAGTTTTCTTGTCTGCGTCCCAATTTCAACGACGTGTAATTGTTGGGTGTTTGTGTACGCTGATTTGCAAATACCGTGCTTTCTGGTGACCGACATTAAACACCGCCAGATGCTCTAATTACCTCGTATCCATGTTGTTTCTACGACTTAATTGTACGTCTACACGTTATCGTACGTCGTTATACCAAAACCAGATCGCGATCAAACGCAGATAGAATATTCCTGTTCTAAAGCGAGAAGATATCATTATCGCAGTACCTACGTTCAAATGCAGTTTATTAAACTATAAACTTGCCCCAATGCTTCGTGGTGTATTTAACACGTTGCATTGTTCGTCGAAATTGTTGAAAATTTGATAAATTTTGTACTTTTTTTGTAGAGTGATAAATTCATTGCGGATAAAATCAAAAATTTTCATCAGAAATATGTTTTTCTTCAAATGTGGATCAGGTGTAGAGATTGAGACTTTTCGAATATCTGTATTATATCTTTACGTACATAAAATCATTCGAAGTTAAATAAAAATGTGTCAGAAATAATGTCTATTTAAATCAATATAACGTTGTAAAATCAAATCGTCAAGTTCATCAGAAATTTTACCAATTCGAAGGAAATCTGGTCCCATTGTGATCGTACCGAACGTTACAAAAAAAGAGGAGGCCCAATCTTCGCGAGTAAAATAGTCCATTGATTGAAAACTTAATCATCGATTAATCGTTCTACAACGTAATTTTAAAACACAAAGTTACTCCAAGTTAAATAAGAGTGTCATTCCAAGAGCGTCAGAAACAATATTTAAATAATGTCTATTTAAATCAGTATAACATTGGAATTGTCAAGTCAAATAGCCAAGTTCATCGAAATAATATTGAAATTACCAATTTGAAGGAAATCTGGCCCCATCGTGATCGTACTGAACGTTACAAAAAAAAAAAAAAAAGAGGAGGGCGAATCTTCGCGGGTAAAATGATCCATCGATTAAAAACTTAACCATCGATTAATCGTTCTACTAAGCACCTACTAGTTGCTGCAGCGCGTCGTATAAAGTCAAAGCGGCTGGAAAATCCAAGGACAAAGGGCAAGTTTCTTCATAATTTCTGCGATTGTCGGAGGGTTGAACGCAGCTATTAATCAGCGGCCGATCAACGTCGCGGTTCGGGCACATCCGCGAGAAGGATGAATCCTCGCGCGAGAGGAAGGTCTCTGGCTACGGGCTCGGCTCGTTTTCACGCTCCATTTGACCGCGTAATTCGCGGGCCGTCGCTCTCAAACGAGCAAGAAAGTAATATTCCAACGTTCGTGTCTGCCCTGTTCCGACGCAAATACCGGAAAAATCTTTGATGTGTCGCCCCCGTGAATGTCTTTCGCGTGCCGTGGCACGATCTCTTCTCCCTTTTTTCCCCTCTTTCTTTTTTGCTTCGCCTCCTCAGCAAACGCATACACGGCGCCGTCCATTGTTCGGCCACAGTGTTTCGTTTTAATCATGCTCCGGCACTTACTCGTCTCGGTTTTATTCCGTGCTCCGCGAGTTTTTCGCGACTGCAACCGGGGTTGGGGGGGAGGGAGGGGGGAGGCTGGAGAGGTCAACGTGTACTTTTGTCCCTCTTCACTCTCTTTTCACTCGGTTCTCCGTTTTCCTTTTTCTCTCTCTTTCTCTCGCTTCTCCTTCGTTTCTCTCCTACTTTGTTCTGTTCCTTCGTCTGTCCTGTCTCTATCTTCTTCCTTCCTTCTTTCGTTCTCTTTCAAGTTTTCCTTAGCTTTCTTTGTCTCTCTCTCTTTCTCTCTTTTCTCCCCGTGTTTTACAAATGAGACACAACGACCGAGGGGCTGACCTTTTATTCACGGAGAAAAGTCCAACGTAAGTCAATTTCCCTGCCGATGGGATTGACCACTTTTGTCTACTACCATCCTTGGTTGACTATCTGATGCTTTTCGCGATGCTTTCTTCACCGTTTCGCCTAAAGGACATTTTGTTTCATCGACTGCACACGCAGATATATATATATATATATATATATATATATATATATATATATATATATATATATATTACGGTTTCTTTATTTTTGCGTCGCGGGATTGTAATTAGCTCACTTTTCCCAGGTCGATCGATTTTCAGGTTATTTAACCCGCTTTATCGAGAACCATTGCGTTTCCATTGTATCACTGCTGACCTGATTCTTGCTTTTGCCGTTCGAGATGCGCACGTTTCCTCGCGAATCGAACAGTGTTCGCAGTGTTCGAAACGTTCGATCGAACGTCGTGCATTTTATTTCCAATAAAAAATGTGTTTGTCTTCTAGTCTATCGCGAGTACGAACGTCGTTGAGTAGTCTCGAATTGTTTCGATAGTTTACTGTCGCGAAAATGTCGAGAAATCATCGTGAAAATATTGCTAAGAAAAATATTTCAAGCATGAATTTTTCTTTTTTTTTTTTTTTGAACAAAATTGAGCTTGAATTGGGGGAGCAATTTGTCAATTCATCGGACATATTGTCGTAGCAATTACCGACTGATCGGATATTGAAACGAGACGCGGGGGTTAGAGTGAGTCATCAGGGAAAAAGTACTTTTCCTCTGTTCCCAATTTTTACACTCTCTCTGTATTTTTAAACCGATCAATAACTACCCACTCGAAATATACAGCCCAGGTCTTCCAATTAAATCCAAATGCGACAGATAAAAATGATGAATAATCAAGATTGTCAAATTGTCAGTTACCGTATTATCGGGTTGGCCAAAAAGTAATTGCGTTCTTTTTTAACAGACGGTGATTTATTTTAAAATGTAACTAACTTTGTTTGAAACCGTGAATTCATTCTGTAATCTGATAACTGATTGTTCAAGCTTATTTTAGAAAAAGAAAATGCACGACCTCGTAGCAATCTTCAAAAAGAAAATGTCCATCATCTCCAAATATGCCATCCTCCAATTAAGTTAAAAATGAAACCAGAAAACGAAAGAAACCAGTGTAAACGATCTTGAATTTTACAAACGATCGCGAAGCTGAAGAATAATTAAATTACAAGCGTATCGTGCGAAAGGAGTGCAAATTAACAGAGCAAAGATGTCATCTGGAGCAAATTGGAGCAATAATCGAGGATAGTAGGATAATCGTTAGACGGACGATTTCCTTGGAAAATAAAGTGTTTTTCACCGGGAAACGTGTATCGTGGCTGGAATCGCATCCAGGTGAATAACGATGACGTCGGCAAAGAATACATACGGCTGTGAGTCGTGAAAAGATTTGCTCGTCTCTCGACCAAAGACGTCAGCCAAGCAAGCCCGGACCTTTTTAAAGGGAAACGTTCTAAACGAGCGCCGTCTTTTCAACCGAGGAATACCGGAAAATCACGCCGAGGAACACCGGATCTATGTATCGGACGTCGTTGTTCAACAATCCGGCATGAGCCGGTCGTGCCTGTCGATGGAAATTCATTCGCGAGACGCGTACGATCGTGAATTTTAATCGACACGGAGACACGGACTTTGAAGCCTGAGATATCTCTGGCCTCTTTTATTCGTAGTATTTTTTATTCACCGAGAGTTTCAAGTGTCACTGATTGTAACTGACAGGCGGAATTGGAGATTTCGATCAAATTTGTAAAATTCGGTTCAATTTTCTTGCCTCTTTGCGCGATGATTTGGAGAACTTGAAAGTCGATCGGTGTTAATAAAAATAATTGCGCAAATATCCTTTTGTCGTTCAAATCATCGGACTTTGGAGGGACAATTTAGTCATCCTGATATAGCAATTACGATAGTATAACCAATCTGACTAATGGTTTCAACGAGAAATCCTCCACACGTGTTTTTAAAAAAAATTTTATCTAATAATTCTCGTGGAATATAAATTGGAATTGACCGTCAGATAAATTCGCAATCAAAACCGAAATTCTGCGGAATCGAAAACCCAAATCAAGTTCGTGAAAGTGTAATCAAATTTTTCTACGCGAAATGTTTGCACACGAATTTTCAACAAACAATCTGGAAACAGGAAAAAATTGAACTCTAGCATCAGTCGCGCGAAACGTTTTCATCGATTCTTCTATGTTTCAACGAGTCCTCCAGCAATTATCCTCGAATTTTCAGAGTCACTGGCTCTATCCACACACTCGTGAGGCCATTCGTCGTGTGCCTTTTCGAAGCGGTGGCCGTCAGTTTCAATTCCGTGACGATTCTAATTCGAACACGCTCGCGACTAATCGTAAGTATTTGCGTGTCACGTCGACAGATCTATCCGCCGTTTTCACCGATAATCGATCGCCTCTTTTTTCACTAGCACGTAACGCCTCGTCGAGTACTATCGAGCACTCGTTCTTTACCTTCGATCTCCCCTCGACGCGTTTCTCTTGATTCAGCTGAATCCAGGCGTCCCATCGGTGCCTGTAGACGGTCAAGGTGTTCCACTCGTTCAGCCTCACTGTTTGCGTGCTCCTGACTGTGCCGACTCCGCTCCCGCAATCGAACCTTCGAACAAATACAAAGATCATCCCGTTTTTTCTTCTTTTTTTTTTTACTCGCTCGCAGTGAAATGATAAATCTCCGTCGCTGTTTGTCATGTTCCGAGCTTTGGCTAACAATAAACGCTTTGTAAAATGATCGGTTTTACAGATCGTGCAGGATTTCGATTCGTTTCTCTGGCACTCGTTTCATTTGGAATTTGTCTTTGATAAAAGCCGGATTGGAGGGGAAGTGAAAATTCGAAAATTGCAAAGTTTTACCTACTTGTGTAGTTTCGTGAGATTTGCCGTTGGTAATTTAATACAGATACATGATTGCAATATTAATTGTTATTCGTTTATTTTTTTCACAAGATAATGGTTGTCTGTGTACATTAATGCATGTGAAGAGTTAATTGGAAGTGTAACTTTAATTCCAGCCTTTGCAAAATGGCTGTGTATGAATTATATTTATGACTACGACAAATTAGTGGAGGTGTTGTTACGATAAATTAGTAATACAACAGTCTGATCATTGATATTTCTAAACATCAAAGATTCGAACGATTCATTCAAATTGTTAATACAGAATTCCATGATGCCTCTGAATGTTGCCTGGCGATTTGAAAAAAAAAACGAAAAGTAAAACTGACGCAAATACGAAACTTTCAATCAAACAATCCTTTTGTTTATTTTAATAAAAACAAAAAAAAGAAAAACTCTCGTGTGCTTTTAATACGTTTAATTACGAAAAATTTGGAAACTGATCTGGTGCCACTGAGTTGTTATTCTCGTCATTCGGAAAATGTTCATCAATCCTCGAAAACGAGGCGTGGAATGAAATATTCGACAATCGTCGGGCGATTACCAATTGCCATAATCAACCGGACATTTTCGATACCAACACACGTAGGATAGCCAATACCGCGGTTTCAATCTGGCGATACTCTTGTTACAACGCTTTCGGTCAGCTCGTCCGATAACACGCGCGAATTCAGGCGCGGAAATGAAAAACCATTACATATATCTATTAACTATTCCATGACGGGGATGTCAATCAGTTGCGAGCGCGAGATTAACGCGCGAAGCGTTCGCGCGAAGCCGACTCTCGCCAATATCCTCGAAATTTTCGCCGATCAAAGAGAGGCAGGATCCATTGAAACGAAACGCGGACGGGGGACTCGACGTTGCAATTACTCGTTGCTTCACGGACGCGCGCAACTAAAATGGCTCTCTGGCCAGGAAAAAGCTGCAATTTTTTTGTTGCTTGATTTTCGTTAATTTCTCAAGAGACGGAAATTATTTGAACAAAGGTAAGAGTTTCGGTGATTTTCTGTTACGAAATTTTTACTCTTTTTTTTTTCTTTAAGCTCGTAAATTGAAATTGATTTCACAGGGTAGCTTGTACATGTGTACATTACAAACTTTCGACTCAGAATTTTGACAATTTTTCCATTACCTAATGTGTTTGCCTTTTCTTTTCTTTTTCTGAAGTTTTCAAATTTGTAAATTAAAATAATATTTTGAACTTGTATTCAAATAGAGTGTCATGTATGTATCGTCGTCAGTTAGTCTTCGTCATCTCAAACTATTAAGATATTAAAAGTCTCTCTTAAAAAAAAGATTAAACTCTTTTGCAAAAGATGGTATAACATTTAAATCGAATTTTTTTCTATCATTTTTTTTTCTTTCCATCCAACTTTAGCTCTAACTCTCTACGGTTATTGCAAGAGTTTGAAACATCTCCGACGTCATAAAAATCTTCGGTAAATCATCAATTAGCTCGAGCTTTATACTTCAACAATTAACCTAAAAATTTACAACTTTGGTAATTATCTTAAGTTCGGGTTGTAAAATTCATCAGAGTGGATGGTAACATCGCCGCTGCCATATTTTCCTTTCGCCGTAGCAATTAAAAGTATCCCGTCTCCCAAGTTAACCTTTAACTTCGTTTTATATACGAGGACAATTGCAGTGCTTGTTCTCGCCTCGAAAAGAAATTTTTCTCCGTCTTTGTCGATCCGTCGTTGCGATAATTATTGTCTCGCTGATGCTTGACTTTATTTTCCGAAGCGATCCAACACGAGCCGAACAAAGGGAAGAAAGGAGCGGCGTGCTTACTCGCGGCGGCAAGGGTTGCGCTCTAAGTTGCGGTAATTATTACTGTCGGAGAGTAAACGACATGGTAATGAGAAATTTTAACGAGTTATGCCGACTGCGGCGTAAATCCCGGCTAACCGAAGCACGTAATTAGTAGCATGGTGCTTGTAGCATGCGTGCGCTACCAGCGAGTTTCAGAGATCACTCTCTGCACGCACTTCGCCAATTCTGACTTTTATTTTTATTTTACAGCAGAGTTGGCTAACTGGCGGGCCCTTGCCCCTACTTTCCTGATCGCTAGCGCTATCCCCTCCACATGCTTGGTAGGACTGAGAGAGTGGGGCTCAAGAGATGCAGTGGAGGGGGTAACGCTAGCGATCAAGAAAGTGGGGGCAAGGGCCCGCAAGCTGTCAGTTAGCCAACTCCGTTCTACAGAATTATCGAAATTCCCAAGATTAACCACTGTTATTTCATACTATAATTTTTACCTGCTAAAAAAAAAAAAGTGAATATTTTGCATGTACAAAATAGACACATTCGCAAAGGAAAATAAAAAAAGTAATTTCTTTTTGTTCAAGAATTGCGATGATTTTGTTTTACGATTACGACGATCCTTCTTAGAAATTGCAACACCTGCTCTCTATACTTTATATCGATAATCGTATCGATCAATTTCATGAAAATAATGGAACGTGGTCATTGGAATTTCTAACTGAATTACAACATTCTTTTTGTCAGTGGTTGTGTAATAAATTAAATCACGGAAAGATGATATATTATGATTAATCCTTCGTCTAGACCTCGGATGTTTCCTTTTTCTCCATTTATTTTAAATAATTACTTTGTATGTTGGTAATTAATCTCTAGATGACGAGCTTGTGGAAAATGCAAATTCTTCTGGCGACTTTTTCTAAAATTGTTCATAATTGGAAAGTTAATTATATCATATTCTTGATATGTTTTCATTTCATAGCCAACAAATTTGCGCCTGAGCATCGCTAATGAAGGAATTATTACATCCGGCACAAATAGCATAACATGATTTTGCATTTACATTATCCTAGGATTTTAAATATTCGGCACATAAGTTTTTACATACGAATCGAGATATCGACTCGCGACAGCGTTGTCATCACCACGAGTACGTTCTTGTTGAACGTTTCAACCGGTGATGCAGCTTCGATCGTGCATTCTGCACTCGAGACGATCGTGAGGAAAGTCGATTAGCCAGCCGAGAAAATACTCGAAGCCGAAACGGAGAAGCGGAAATTCAATTCCGGCCATTGTTGCGAGATATGTTCGCGAAACAATGTGTGTGTGTGTGTGTGTGTGAGAGAGAGAGGGAGAGAGATGGAGGATAAAGAAAAAAAAAATAGTTTCTTGAAAGTACTAGTGTCAAGAGCAGAAATAGCAGAGGATAATAATAGTAGATTTTTATCGTTCGGAAAGGTCGTTCAAGTTGGCCGGTGACGCAGTTTTCGAGAGATGTGCGCGAAATAATTAAGAATTCCTCCGGAGGCGAGGGATCGTGACCTTGACCTTGTTGGAGCGAATGCTTCCTCGCGGTATGGTGATCCCGGCATGCAAGATGTACTTGACATTTTCGCGATGCTCGTGTCACTGGAGAGAAGTCACGTACTTGCCACTTCACGCTTCATACGACCGATGAATCACGATTGCTGATGCAGTGGGAAGTAATTAATTCGATCGATCGGGTATTTCTGGAATTCGGTAGAACATGTCCGAACGTAATTTCATACTTTCGCCTGTTATTTTCATTTTTCGTTATCATTGATCGATCTGATATTTTTAGACTTCGACGTACAATATATAATATAATTATGAGTTTGACAGAAGTTGGATAATTTTAGTAGATTTCTCGTTTTTATATTTTCGTCTGTTACCTTCCTTTTTTATTGTGATTGATCAATCTGATATTTTTAAAATCGATATGTAATTATGATTTTGACAGGAATTGGGCAATTTTCATCTCTATATTTTCGCCTGTTATTCCTCTTTTTCATTGTGATTGATCAATCTAATATTTTTTAAAATTCGATATGTAAAATAATATTATGATTTTGACAGGAATTGGGTAATTTTGGTAGATTTTTCATATTTATATCTTCACGTATTATTTTCCTTTTTCCTCGTGATTGATGCTTTCGGAATTTGCCAGATATGGTATAGTTATGATTTTGGCAGAAATTATATAATTTTCGCACATTTCTCTTTTTTGTATTTTCACATATTATATGATGCTATTTTATTTTTCCTTCTTAGTAGCTTATTTAAAACTTTGTCTGAGAATATTTTTCCTGTTACATTTTTGATGTTCAACTTTTTCTTTTTATATCCTCGACATTGTTCGTTCTTTACAGCTGAAATTATTTCTTTTTTTTCCCAGTATCCTCGCGCCGCGTTCTTTTATTGGTGAATTTTCTCTTCTGGCATCGTTCGGCTAGCTATTTTCCACTGCTGAATTTCCTTGCACCGCTGTCTGCCATTTCCGTTATTCACTTTTCGGACACTATTCTCTCGCAAATTATCTTTTCACGTCGCACTGTTCCCATTTAATTTTTCATTGGACATCTGTTCTCTCGTTGTTTTCTCCTGAGTCTGTATTCTCTATACTCTCCACAGAAACACGTAGAAAGCCGCGACTCTCAAAGTTTCTCTGCGGATTGATCGTCGCGGCTACTTGACACTCGATGTATCCACACCTGGACAGGTCGAGTGTCAGATATTTCACACGGACAAGCAAGAAGAAAGGAGAAACGCCAAAAACCGCGTGAAAGACAGAATCCTTTGGACACCGTCCAGGGCCCAATTTCTATATCCGATCTTCGCGCGATATTACTTCCGCTCGCAGCTCGACCGTGCATGTAAGCGTAATGCGGACATCCGTGTACGTGAAAGTGATTCTTC